GGAAAAAATGAGGACCTGATGCCAGGGGCTTAAGTGGAGAGCAAATGTTTTGAGAATGATGAGGGCAATGAGTGTCCAAATGTGCTTTACACAATTAATGTGTGTATGGATTGTGATAAGAGTTGTATGAGCCCCTAATAAAATGATTTAAAAAAGAACTCACAGACAAAGCCCATGATGATGGTGGTTCATTAGGGAAGTTCACAGGTTACCACAAGCCAGGATCAGTAAATGGTAAGGTTACAGTCAGTGAACCACAGTAACACCTCAGTCAGCAACCAAATCTCTCAGAGCCTCAGCCTCTACGTCACACGGCCCCTTGGCTCCTGCCTCCTGTTGCCAGGAACCCTGCCTAACTGCTCTAGCTCATGGTCTCATAGTCCCTCTGCTGCTCTGCTCTAATGCTCTGTCTCACGATCTCCTCGCCTCAGCTTCCAGTATCAGCAAGGCATGGCATCTGCTACCGCTGCCACTCAGGCAGCAATTTCCAGGAGGCTCCCCTGGTGGCTAGTCTTCCTTGATGGTTCCAGAAATTCTCTCTGCTGCTGCTTCTGTGACGGCAGGTTCTTATAGCCGAGTGAGTGGCAACTGATCTGGGTCATCCCCCTCTATTCGTCTTTCACAAGATCTGTTTGCGTGGTTCCACCCAATCATTTGGTAGGAGTTACAGAGACAATGATAGAAGACCCGTATTAAGAACGTTCACTTCACCACAATTTTAGGCTCCGGATTTCTATGTGGCTCATTTTCATCATTTCTATTTCTTAACTGATAGTCCTCCTTTGCGGAGACATGGTTTTATTTAGCTCATTTTGCATGGCTTATTTAGGCCTTTGACCTTATTTAAGACAATTGATTTAAAGTCTTTGACTAGTAAGTCCAATTGTTAAACCTCCTTACATCATTTCTCTTCCCTTCTTCTTTCCTTTCTTTCTCCCTTCTTACCTTTTTTACCCTATAAATGAGCTACACTTTTTCTTTTCTTTGTCTAGTTCATCATCTATTTTGAAAACCTGACATTTTAAACATTTAATGTGCAACTTGTTTATGCCTAAAACTTGGTGATGTTTGGACTGCTGCTGTTCCACGACCGCATGATGGTGGTCTTTGTGCTAGATGATCACAATATAATAGAACCAGAGAAACAGCAAGTCCCAGAACAGTATATAAGTCTTTTTCTGTTTATAGATAAAGATGACATGGACATGAAAAGATTGACAGAATACCCACTGTTCATCATAATCATCTCTGAGAAATGAAATTGTTGTAAGGGGAATTATTTAACTTTTAAAATATTTCCTAATTGAATTTTCCTTCTTATGCCTCAAACTGTCTTTATTACAAGTAAGATATAAACCAGAGAATGAGAAAAGGAAACAAAAATGGGGGGAGAGGGAGACTAGCTTACAGATGGTTCACAGAGAAAGGAACTGAACAGGTAACGTGTAAAGCAGTGTTGGTTGTTTCCTAGGATTAACTAGGAATCTATAACTCCTGGAAACTGTAATAGAGCATATATTGAAAATTGTTTGATGTAATTTTTCTCATCCCATCAAACTTGCTTTTTACAGACATTACTTGCTGCGCCTAATCCATGAGATAGTGTTTTGTGATGAATTTGAATATGTTGGATACCTCATAGTACTAATGAATCTGTTTCCGATCATCATTTCTTGGATATCCTCTTTAAATAACATTTATGAGGTAGAATTAATACGAACAAATTTATCTTTTCTTGGATTTTATATCCTGGAGATCACACTGAAGGTAATGTAAAATGTATGCGCATGTGTAAATGCATCATTTGCCTAACATGGAAGTTACTTACCTTCATTTTCAATACTACAAACAGGGAACTCTCAAAAAGTATAGGAAAGTGTCTTTCACATCTCAAAGCAAATATACTTTAATATTTAATGTTATCTGAGTGAGTCAACAGAAAATACATATGCTATAAATATTGATTTTGTATTTGTAAAAATAATTTCTAAAATGATGTGAAGAAATAAGTTCCAAAGTTACTACCATTCTTCTTAAGCTTATGCAAGGTGCTGAGTATACAGATAATCATTTTATTATTTTTATACTAGCTTGATAAACAAGAAACTCTAGTAGGTCCTTATTGTGTAAGTATTGAACTGCTAACTTCAGGGTTGGTGGTTCAAACCCACCGGCTGCTTTATAGTATAAACATGAGATGATTTGCTAATATAAATATTAGCAGCCTCAGAAACTCTAAATCAGATTGCTATGTGTTGCAATCAACCTGATTGCAGTGGAATGGATGGTTGGGTGAAGTAGATAAATTGATAGATATGTATAGAGATAAGAACTCTGGTGTCACTGTCCTGTAAGCACTGGACTGCGAACTGCAAGGTCAGCAGTTCAAGGGTGCCAGCTGTGCTGTGAGCGTAACGTGAGGTTTTCTGCTCCCATAAAGACATACAGCCTCTGAAAGCCTGCATCAGGGTCCCTGTGACTCACAACAGCTGCAATGGCAGAGGTTGGGTGTTGGGTGGTAATAGATACATTTTGTTTTTATTTTTGTTTTTTAATACTTGAGAAATATTTTATAGGTTGTTTTTTTAGATCGAATAAAGAGATAATTATTCAATAATGGAAGTGTATAGTCATGAATAATAATACTGTGTTATGTGAATCAACAAGTTGAAATATAAAACATTTACAGCCGGAAAGTGTAAATAGAGAATTATGTCTGATAGTAGTGGTTGTTAGCTGCTGCGGAGCTGGCTCCCACTCATGGGAGCCCCGAGTGACAGAATAAACTTGCTCCGTAGAGTTTTCCTGGCTGTGCTATTTATGGAAGCAGGTCACCAGGGCTTTGCTTCCGTGGGTATAAGCGTTAGGTTATCGGCGCCACCCTCCTCACGCTTGATATTTAGACAAATAAATGTGAAATATTACTGGAAGAGTAAAATGCTACTACAATGCAGAAAACAACTCAAAGTCCCACAAAATACAAGGATTGCTAGTTGGATAGGGATGGGTGGAACCCTATGTCTGTGGGCCTCAGTCATCTTTCAGGTGGGGAACTGAGCACACTATAGTGGTTCAATTTATAGCTAACCCGTGAAGCATATCGACCAGGAGAATAAATACACTAGGAAGGTGTGCACGACTTAGAGCCATCAGCCCTTTGAGATGGAAAGAGCATACCAGGACACCATTCAGAAAGGTTGGGCGAGGAGGAGGAAGAGACTCAGAAACACAGAGGGAGGGGGACAAATTCAAGGTTAGTTGAAGAGATCATAAGAAGTGAGGTTTTTTCTTTTTTCAGTGAGGAAATAAAGCAAACAGGATTTCGGAGTAGGACAAAATGATGATGAGGGAGAGGATTCCCCTAAAATCAGCCTGACCAAATGTGAGCAGGCCTAAGGAAGTGGCGCTCTACCAATAGAAACGTACGGCAGTCTGCTTGGAAACAAGTATGGCAACTTCTGCCTCACTGTCCCTCTGCCCTTATTTCCACCTCATGGTACCTCCTGTTAGCTAGTTTGCTGTTGCTCCGACACACCCCCTCCTGGGATCCCTATCTCCTTCTTGATATTGACTCCAGTACCCCAGTTGTTCCTCTGTCCTTGGTGCAGCCTGCTCACCGTCCCCTTCCCCCACCACCCTCACCTCCCAGGTCTCTCCGGGGCCATTGGTCCTGCTGCTCTCTCCTCGGGCATGCCTCCCATGCCTCTCCTATAGAGGTAGGTACACCGACTATGGCATAGCCCAAACTGATTTTTTTAAATAATAATAGTAAATAAATAAGAAAAAAATTAAAATTAAAAAGAGAGAGACAGAAGAAATATACAAAAAATCCTGGATCTGTTCGCTGGTCTTCAAGACTGTTCAGGAGCTGCCCCTCCTGGCCGGGAACACCCCCTTGGGGGCTCCTTAGGGGCTTCGTAGCTCTGCCTTGCTCCAGCTGCTGACCTGGCATGCCCCCTTCTTGCTTTGCTCCACTTTGGGGGGGTTCAGACTGCACTGCCTCCCCACCAGGTGACCCCAGAAAGGGACATGCCTCTTGAAAAGATGACTGCGGAAGGAATCCTGTCTTATGGGAAGTTCTACCCTGTGCCATGGGATCACTGTGAGTCACAGTCAACTCCAGGCACATCAGAACAGCGACCTAGAGAGAAGTAGAAGGGATGCCTTACACGAGAGGTGGCTCAGCACAGGGAAGCTTTCCAAGGAAGAAGATGCTTCAGGTGAAATTTTTCCCTATTTTAAAAAAATTTTAATAGATCACTTTATTGGGGGCTCTTACAGATGAAATTTTAACTACGTATAGCAGTCAAAGAAGAGACTGAATACATGGTAGTTTGGAATACACGAACAAATGAGAACAGAAGCATCAGTGTAATACATGCAAGGAACAGCATTCCCAAAGACTGATGTTTAGGAATGGGTTGGTTGTAGCACAGGTTAGAGGGCTGCTAGATCTCTGTACCCAAACCCAAAACCAAACTCGCCACCTTCGAATCCCTTCTCACTTGTAGCAACCTCAGAGAAGAAAGTAGAACTGCCCCACAGGCTTTCTAAGACTATAACTCTTTCTAGAAGCGGACTGCCTTTTCTTTCTCCTGTAGAGGGGCTGGTGGGTTTGAACCCATGAGTTCTGAGTGGCCATTACATGAATTACTAAGCCCAGCAGAGAACCAGAGTGCTATGGGGGAGAGGCTCGGTGACACTGGGCTGAAAGAAAGTTGCAGGATGGAGGTATATCTGGCCTCTTCCTCCTAGAAATGAGCTGACATTGAATTTGAGTTTCCTTTAAACCTGCGAAGCCAGAGGAGGTCATACACATCCCTTTTAGAGTGACATACCATGTTGATTTAATATCATAACATCTGGCTTTTTTCTTTAAAATAATTAATCAAATCTCACATATTACATTTAAAGATATGCTCATACTAATAAACGAATATGTATTAGTTCACAATGAAAATGGTTACAATATTGAAGCATTTATTCCAAGAAAGAGACTATTAAAGACGCCTACTATTTCATTATCGTTTGCTCATCTAGTCCTTCATTTTTTTAAAATTAGCTTTTTGAAAACAAAATATAGCTGAGAGGTTACAAAGAGGATTGTGGATTCCAGCTTGAGAAATTAGATTTCCAGTGGAGTTCTGAATTAAAAGTTAGTTTAAAGGCAATGAATTTGTTTTGAACATATTGTTTGGGATGATTACAAAGTATTAGTGCAAGAGATCAGTCCAGAGTTGTCTTTATGGCTTGAGATTGTGGATCAAATTTCAACTAGTAATAAAATCTAGGAGTCATTCAATTATGAATAGGGTTTGAGGTCATGAACGCATGTAGGTAGCATGATCTATGACGTCTGCAATTCATATCTGTGTCTCCTGTCTCATGTGTCATATTCTGTACAGGAATTAAGGGGCCTTCATGGTACAGTGGGTTAAGTAGTGCTCTCAGCCACATGGCCCCTTGACTTCCACCCTGAATGTTGGTTTGGAACAAGCTGCACAAAATATGACATGCACTAAATTGTGTATTTGCACAATGTCAGATTTATTTGTCCAATTAGATAGATAACAAACCAAGAAATTAATTCACAGAACCATATGAGCCAGCTAGTTAGTTAAAAGGAATGAAGGAAGACAGAACCCTGGCAGTCCTATAAACAAATAAACAAATAAACAAGCAAACAAAACAGCCCTCATTGCCATCAATTCAACACCTACTCATGACAACCCCGTAGGATCTGGTTGTGTCTGAGACTGTAACTGTTGGTTTCAAATGGCAGACCTTGCAGTTAACAGCTTAAAAGCGTACCCACTATGCCACCAGGGTTCCTAGGGAAGTCCTACAGTTAACAATTAAAACGTACGGTATACAAATCAAAAGAGAGCATCCCTGGATTGGTGGTCCAGTGATCTAACAGGTAGGGTTCTTCCTTTGAAGACTTGGGGACACAAAGAACAAAGGTCTCGAAGCAGTTATAGGATGTCTCTGGCTGTACTCGTTCACCAGGTGAGCCACATCTGAAATCCAGCCATATAACTCTCAGAACACCAACGGGAGTTTGACTGCTCAGGTGTGGACATCGCCGGGGCTACCAAAGGTGAGCAGAGGCTTCTCTCTGGCTATGACACTTTTAATGCAAAAACAAGGCCACATGAGCATCACTGTATTTGGTCTCTCTCTTGCCTTATCTAACTGGCCCATGTATCTGCATGTTGGGGTTTGTTTTGTTTTGTTTTGTTTTTAATACTTTTATTCGGGGCTCTTACAGCTCTTATCACAATCCTTCATTCCTCCAACGTGTCAAGCACATTTGCACATATGCCGCCATCATCATTTTCAAAGCATTGTCCTCCCACTTGAGCCCCTGATATCAGCTCCCACTTCTTCCCCTTCCCTCTCCCACCGCCCTCCCTCACAAACCTTTGATAAGTTACAGATTACTTTTTCCATCTCTTATATCATCCTCCATTGCCCCTCACCCACCTTTCTGTTATTCGTCCCCCTGGGAGGGAGTTCTAGATTGATGATCAAATCCCCCTTACTCCCCCACCCTCCCCTAATCCTCCTGGTTTCTCTACTCTCCTTGTTAGCCCTGAGGGGTTTATCTATCCTGGATTCCCTGTGTTGCAGGCTCTTATCTGTAGCAGTGTGCATGTTCTGGTCTAATCTGACTTGTAAGGTAGAATTCAGGTCAAGATAGTGGGGGGGAAGGAAGCACCAAAGAGCTAGAGGAAAGTTGTGTGTTTCATCGGTGCTATTCTGCACCCTGACTGGCTCATTTCTTCCCTGTGACCTCTGTGCGGGGACTTCCAATTGTCCACAGATGGGCACTGGGTCTCCACTCCATGCCGCCCCACCCCCATTCACCTTGGGTATGGTTTTATCCTGGGTCTTAGATGCCTGCAGGTATCTGCATGTTTTATATTGAGCTTTTTAAAATTTTTATTTTAAAGCAAGTTATCTCTCTAATACATATATCTCTATTTGAGTATAAGGATTTTTCATGTTTTGTAATTTTTCACCAGACTATTTTGACACTTTATATATATTTAATTTGATATTACAATGTTAACTAAGCTTCTTTAGTACTGCCAACAAATGTCTCAAGGGGACTCTACCTTGATCCAAAGACTCTAGGCCAGTGGTTCTCAACCTTCCTAATGCCGCGACCCTTTAATACAGTTCCTCATGTTGTGGTGACCCCCCAATCTTAAAAAAAGTATTTTTGTTGCTACATCATAAATGTCATTTTGCTACTGTTATATATGGGGCAATCCCTGTGAAAGGGTCATTCAACTCCAAAAGGGGTCGCGACCCACAGGTTGAGAATCGCTGCTCTAGGCTTTAGCTCTGTGGATGAGCCAACCTAGCTCCCCAGATTGAGAGGCAACAACCTTCACAAGCAACTCTCCTACCCAAAGGCACTCAGCTTTCTCACTCCCTGGGCCAAGAGTCCCACTGCTCTACGGCATGCTCTTGGTATTGCCGCCAACGCTTCCTCACTTCTCGGCTGCAGACAGAGCTCTCTCTCCGGGATTGAATAGGTTCAAGGCGGCAAACTCTCAGGCTCCAAGGACTCACTCTACTCCTGGCTCTTCTTTTTTGATGGTAGTGAAATCCTCCCCTTCATGCTTCTGAAAGGGCTCATTTTATATTCTGGGGGAATACCAAAATAGATCATTCCCCACAGTAGAGTTCCAAGTCTTTTATAATCACAATTAGCCCTGTTAACAATCACTCACAACTAAATCATATAGTTGTCTGCACAACTCCCCTCCCTTCTCAGACTCTGACCCAGAGAAGAAGAAGAGGAAGAAGAAGAAGGAGGAGGAGGAGGAGGAGGAGGAGGAGGAGGAGGAGGAGAAGAAGAGAAATGCACCCCATCTACATGGTCCCACTCAGTACTTTGGTAGGAGTTACAAAAAGTATGGTGGGAAGAGTCATCTCCAAAAAGTCGCTGCACACCAGTCACCACTCCAGAACATTTACGAACACATATTTCCCTATTGTAAACTCAAAAGAAGGGGCTCTGGTGGCTTTGCAGGCTATGTGTTCGGCTGCTAACTACGAGGTCTGTGATTCCAGCCTATGAGCTGCTCCACAGGAGAAAGAGGGGGCTTTCTGTTCTCATAAAGATTTTTAACCTGGAAACCCACGGGCAGTAGCTGTACTTGATCCTGTTGAGTGGCTAGGGGTCAGAGTCGACTCAGTGTCAGTAAGTGAAGTTCAAAAACTGCATTAATTGTTAGATCTAGTTCTCTTAAAAGGCCTGAAAGAGAACACCCCACTGTAGACATACATATTGGAGTGAAATATACATACCCAGCTCTAGAATACGCCTTGAACATGTGTGGGTAGATAGAGACTTTTGTTAACCCTAAAGCAAATCTGTTTCCTCAAATAAAGAGTTCATGTAATTGTCAAGGTAATTTGGCAAAGTGCATACTCTTGCTTGGATTATAAAGATATTGAAATGTCCTTTTATTTGGCAGCATCACAGAATGCAAGCACATAATTGAACTTAGTGAATAAAGTATAACCTTTTTAAATAAATAAATAAAACGAACTCTTGAACTTTAATGAAAATATGCTTGTATCACATCAAACATAACATATAACTTCTTCTTGATTACTCACCATTAGGTGACATGGATTCTAAAATAAAGTAAAGTAAGGTACAATCCACAGGATAACTAGTATTCAAAGCTGTCCGTTTAAAACTAAAGGTCCCCAACACACTAATTTTGTTTGGTTGTTTGTTTGAATTAGTCTTTCCACTGCTGGCTTTTATTGGTATAATGTTACTTTCTTTCTGGGTTGATATATAAATCCTTTTTTCCCCCACCTATACCTGTACTCTACAGCTCCGGTCAGTAAGGCAATACTGACTCTTAGCAGCGCCATGCATTACAGAGTAAAATTGCATCATAGCGTTTCCATAGTTGTAATCTTTATGGAAGCAGATTGCCAAGCGTGCTTTCTGCTGCCTAGTCAGCATCGAATCAACTCCCTGACAGAGGTTTGAACCACCAACCTATAGATTAGTAGTCAAGCCCTTAATCATTTACAACAATCCTAATTCAATGCTCTGCATGCCTGGAGTTGTCCGCTCCTCTACTATAAGGAAATTATAAACTCGGCTGGTTTGTTTAATTTTTATTTCCTGTGATATACAAGGCAAGTAGTCTGAAAGAGAAAAACAAAATAAAGTGGTTTCAAAAAAAAAAAATAAATAAAGTGGTTTCTTTTAAATCAACAGATAGTAGCTATGAAGAAGGATTATTTTTTGCACACCTGGAACACATTTGAGTTAGTAATTACATTGATCGGTATCGTGGATGCAATACTGGATGCTTTACAGACTGAAATAAATAATTTTAATAGCATTAAAATCATCTTCGTCATAAAAATTATTCGAATATTTCGTGTGCTACGCATCATGAAGGTAAAGTAAGGTTAAATCACGTTATTTCAAATTTCTCCTGACCTGTTTCATGAAGTATGTACTAAAATTAGTGTTATTAATCTTTAAATTAAAAATATATATATCCCACCTCCTTCCCTGTGATTTCTGTCTCCATCCCTCCCCCTTTATTAACCCTTCTGAACTTTGTCCAGGGGTAAACACTGCTCCCTGGATACCAAATGGGTGACTATCCTGAGGTGTGCAGACATCAATAGTGTTATTATTCTCCTTATAAACTAACCTCTTATTGGACTAAAAATTGAGCCCCAGGTGTGCATTCACTTCTAGACCTGCAGGGGAACCAAAGACCATCGTCTCACGAGTTCCCTCTTGCTCTTCATCCAATGAGCAACCCTCATCTTTTCACGACTGCTAGTTTATTCCATAGGGTTCTCTCACTCTATCCAGACCCGTCTTCTAACACAATCCACTTCGGAGCAGTTGGTGGCGGTAGCCAGGCACCAACTAGTTCATCTGGTCCCAGGCTTGTGGGTGTTCACATCGTACATTGGACTGAATCTTTCCTGGTGCCTTCAGTTTCGATCAGTCTTCTTTCTTCCAGATAGGGAGCGAACAAGAGCTGCTCCTTAATGGCATTTAAGCTTTTAAGATCCCAGTTGCTACACATCAAAAGAGGAGATAGATCTTATGGCCTATGCCATGCCAGTTAACATTGGTGTCCCCAAGACCACGGTGCCAAGCCCCCAGACCCAGCGACTCAGTCCCCCAAGGAGCCTCTTTATGTCCAAAACATTTTCATAACTTTACCGCCTGTATACTTTACCACATTCATGGATATATTTACAGCCGAGTTAAATATGTAGATATCTATATCCATTCCTCACTCATTTTATCTCGTAGATTCACTCGTAGATCACCGTTACCGCAAGGTTGTTTGTATGAAAGTATTTACCTCTGTGGGCTTTAACTCGTGTACTTCTCCTAGTGTCCTACCTTCACCATTCCTTACCCTGCTCCCTCTTATTGCATATTCACCTCCCTTCGCCCATGTTCTTAAAATCTACTGCACTACCTCTCCATGGGAAAGTTGTGCGACCACATGATTTCCTCTTAACTTTGTGACTTTCTTCATTAAAAATTGTTCTCTCTGCTTTTCTGTTTTCAGTCCAGTAACTTTGGTTCACTTTGATGCTTATTTATCTGGATCGACTTCGAGATGGTGTTTTCTTGTAGGTTAATGTCAAATTCTTTTCTCTCCTTGTTGGCTCTCCGTCTGAAGAACTCCTTAGTATTTTTAGTAAGGTTTGTCTGGTTTTCACAAATTCCTTTAATTTCTGTTTATCTAGAAATGTACTAATTTTGCCATCATAGTTGAGGAAAATTTTTACAGGGTATAAGATTCTTGGCTGGCATTTTTTCTCATTCCGAATTACATATATACAACTTTGCTTCTTGCTTGCATGACATCTACTGAGAAATCTGAACTTTGTCTTATTAGTTCCCCTATGTAAGTAAGAAGTCTGAAGGGGTTAGAGCTTCCGGTTGAATGGTGTAAGGTTCTCCCAGGAAAATGATCTTAGGACAACCCTTACTACCTGTAAAGAATGAGCAGGTGCATAGTCATGAAAGGAGCGGCGGGGGGTGGGGGTGGGGGGTAGGGGGCTGATGAAAAATTCCTGGCCTTTTTCTCAGCAATGCAGTTTTCCACTTTCTTAAAACCCCTTAAGAAGACCCTGTGATCATCCCATATTCTTCAAGAAAATTTAACAAGATCACCCCTTTGTAATCCCTCGGACAGTTGCCATAACCCTCTGAACTGATATCTATGCCTTGAATTTAACTGGCTGAGCAGAGCATCTCAGAAGCCACTCTTGATTAGAATTATTTTTTGAAGGCACCTTAATGATTCCTAGACAAGTGTATTACTGCGAAAACTTGTATGTGGCCAACTCACTGATTGAAGAGCTGGGTTTAACCATATTTTGTTGGAATAAAACTATACATGTATGAATTTTCTAGAAGCAAAATCATTTTATTTGACAAAAACTTAATGACAAAGTGGATAATCACTTAAACCAAACTCTTAAAGGCTATTTCTAAATTCTAACACCAAACAGGAAGGATACTTAGTATTAAAAATTTTTATTCACAAAACCATGGCATAAATTTGTGTTTTTAAAGTGGAATAATTCTATAAATTCGGACTTACTGGAAATATGCAAAAAGACCCAAATATCGTCTGGAACTAACCAAGAGGACTACTGGAAACCCTTTTTATATTCAGTAGTCACTGAAATTCCTTCATCTGTTCACTAATTATAAATGGTTTAATGTTTACTTTTTAATTCTGTCTTGGAATAAAGTTGATTACCATTTAAATATGCATTTCACTTAAAAATGTAATTGCTCCGTATACTATGCATACTATGTGTGTATGTGTTATGTATGCACGCACACACACTAATTAGGTTGAGTGAGATTGATTTTTCTGTTACTCAATCCATTCAGCTATCGGCCAGTCCCAGGGACAAGCATGTAGCTAGAAGCTCACACGCTAGAAGTTCTCAGGACAAGCATGTAGCTAGAAGCTCACACGCTAGAAGTTCTCAGGACAAGCATGCAGCTAGAAGCTCACACGCTAGAAGTTCTTCAGTTGGGCACTAATGCTGATAAAGATGTACTGTCCGATGTATCATCTTTTCTGGGGTTCAAAAATGATTCTCAAGTTATCTGAAGGATTTCTTCCAAATCTCTGCCTTCTTTTCAAGTTGAACCATTTGCTCCTGTTCCTTCCAACCCTGTTGCTCATCAGTTTCCATGGCTCTCCTCAATACCACTGCAATTTGGTTATTTGGTCGATACGTGCTTATCATTCTTTGGAGGACTGGATCATCTATTTTGCTGGCCATTAGCAGTCTACACATCTGTTCTCAAGACTTGCTGTTCGCAGATAGATGTTCTTCCAGGGTGTATGCCATTCTTCGTTTTCCTGTTATAATTCTCTAATTTCTCGGTTTTCTTGCTGGGTTCCCGTAACTAATGTGGACCGTGACCAATGTCTTGCAACTTATGTTCTTCCCGGTGCTGTCTGATTGCTTCTACTCACTTGTTGGGGCTGTGATTGGCTCCATAGGAGATTCTGCTGCATCGTCGTGATGTCTCACTCTTTCAATTAGAGCTTTGTGGTCAGCAAGAGCTGTCTCAATTGCACCGCTCATTTCTTTTTTTTTTTTTTAATCATTTTATTAGGGGCTCATACAATTCTTATCACAAGCCATACATACATCAATTGTGTAAAGCACGTTTGTACATTCATTGCCCTCATCATTCTCAAAACATTTGTTCTCCACCTAAGCCCCTGGCATCAGCTCCTCATTTCCTCCCCCCTCCCTCCCTGCTCCTCCTTCCCCCATGAACCCTTGATAATTTATAAATTATTATTATTTTGTCATATCTTACACCATCCGACGTCTCCCCTCACCTACTTCTCCGCTGTCCGTCCCCCAGGGAGGAGGTTTTATATACGAGAGGAGGAAATAGATCTATGTACATATATTTATAGGTTTAGTATTAAGAAAACAGATAGACAGTGGGTCCCTGTTCAAGTACTCCCTCAACACAAGAATACGTTGTTCTAACAATTTGGCAGTCTGTGATGCTCATCTTCATGGCACGATCGCTGAAGACAATGGGTGCACAAGCAAGTGTGGGGAAGAAAGCTGATGGTGCCCAGATATCAAAAGATATAGCATCTGAAATCTTAAAGGCCTGAAGATAAACAAGCAGCTATCTAGCTGAGAAACAACAAAACCCACATAGAAGAAGCGCAGCTCATTTCTAAAGGGATACCTCTTCCGTTTCTTCAGCAAGCAGACACAGAACCAGAGAGAGTTAGCCGAGAGGCAGTGGCACAGGGGCTCACCCTGAACCCCACTGTCGATCCAGGAATACCTATTCCAACTCAATACATTCTGACTTACTCCTGTGGTTTTAGGTGAATCTTGAACAATAAGCATGCGCTTCAGGGGCAGGTGCTTAGAGGGTAAAGTGTGGCGCTACGGAGCACAGACACAGAAAGCATAGGGATCAAGCAGCACAGGAGAACTGAAAAATGGTACAGGATTACAAAAGGAAAAAAGAACAACACAAATAGGTGAAGGGCAACTTAATGGTGGCATTCAACAAGGACTATGGCTGTGGTTCTGATTCTAATGGAACCTCTAGTAGAGAGTTGAGTAGGTAATTCAGTATGCAAGAAAGAAAGAATTATTATTATTATTTTACAGACATCACCACTAGACCTAAGCCACTAAACTTCAGCCCCAAAGATGAATCACACCATCTTGTTTGCTTGTTTTTTTAAGAATTTAAACCAGTTGAAAATAGCTCCAATGTTCTTTAAGGGAAATAAAATAATCAACGAAGAGTAAAGCCATAGAGAGGTGTCCTGCAAAATGCCTCCAGCCATGAAGTCCTGTATAATGTCAATAAGAACGTCGGGGCGGGTTACTGGCATCCTATTCACTTGCACATTCGACGACTACCCTAAAGTTTTCCTGCGGGCAGTAGTCACCCTTTCCTCCATGCACCACAGAGCCGCCATCCTTTCAGATCATTCCATGTCTTAATGTTAATTCTGGTTCAACTAACCAAACACAGTCTAGGAGAATGTGTATGCTTTAGACTAAATGTTCCCTTCTTCCTCAGCTGATCACACCAAAGTTGCTGCTGATAATCGACCAAAGAATGAGTCAACAGCTGTCGTTTCGGTACTCTATATTAAAAGGCTATGTCCAAGGTGAGGCAGACATCATGCCTATAATCAATCAGATCTCAAGTTCTAAACAGGTTAGACAGGTGAGGAAAATTTTAATACTAGGAAAGGGGTTTCCTCCCGGCCCCTTCACTGAGTGTCTTCTATCACGTTATCTTTTTCCCTGTCTCATTCCTGAAAAGTTTTCCATCTTGTATATTTTTTTAAGTCGATACCTTAGTTTTTAAAAAATCCCATCCATTGAACAAGGGGGATCCTCACTGAATAGTTTCCAGTTTTCTTGATGGGTTTGAGAAAGAGCAAGATGGGGGAGAGATACTGAAAAGATTACATGATTTGGGTGAGATTATCCACAGGGTTCATGGTGATTGCCAAAAGTGTAATTGTGGAAGGGATAACTAAAAAGAGGGAGAAAATCGTTTTTCGTGTATGAAAGACAATGGCTAGAAGGGCCAGAGGGTGTTTTGTGGTGGAGTGAATTTTCTGTCACTTCACCAAATGATTGGAGAGGTCATTGAAAATAGTGCACGTGTAATGCTAATTGAGGGGATTGGTACGTTTTACTTGGCACTCCCCTGGCTAAAAGGATGAGTCTCTCAGAAAGGGGGTGGGGAGGGAACTCAGGACCTTGGGAGAAAAGCCATCAGTTACAGCACGTTCTAGACTTCGGAATTGAACCAATGGAGGCCCAGAGCAGAAGCACCAGAGGCTGGGGAAAGAAGACCATGAAGCAGAACAATGGAACAGAACCCAGACTGAGACTGGGAGGAAGGGCGCTGGGCCTGTTTCCCGGCCCACAGAGCTAGAAGCCATGAGGCTAAGGACTAGAGAGAGACTAGGCTGCTGGCCAAAGAGAGGTATGATTGCTATGGGCCAATGACTGTATCCGTAATGTCTTCTGACCCTGGTTTGAGGTAATCTATTCCCTCCCCAATAAACCCCCTTTCTTGTGAATACATAAATGAAAACATAATCACCAGTTGCAGGCATAAGGATATTTTGTAATAGCCCACATTTCCAAGGAGGGTAACCTTTCCTTTGCTCTGTTCCATAGGTGTTATTAAAGCGAGTCACGAGAAATTCAGGACGTGCTATGAAAGAACTAGGTAGGTGCTTCTCGGCAGGCAGTTGCAGTGTGATTCTGTCATGCTATCACTCCTTCGAAAGGCAATGGTGTTGGTAACTAAACTGATCTTTGAGGGAACCAATGCCCTAATAATAACACAGCAATCAATGTGATCTTATCTTCTAGTGTGGGTGGGGATTGCATAATATTACCTCACCACACGTGTCTTGGCATTGGAGCAATAGGAAGACCTTTTCTGTTATAAGAATTCTGGCTAGCCTGTCATGATTGCACATGCCATTGTCCCCCATATAAAGTCTATTCTCTTCCAAATTTGACATGCCCATATCTTCCTGAGTCCCTGAAGGAAAGATGTCACCCTTCCACTCTACCTGCCACAGAGCTGCCACCGTGTCATTCTACCTTGAAACTAGTTACCACTGAATTGGCTTTGGCTCTTGGAGAATAGCCCTGAGCCATAAGCTGTTCAATAGCACATTTTTCAGAAGGCTATTGCTAGATCTTTCTGCCAAGGCATGTCTGAGTGGGCCGAATCTTCAACCTTTAGTTAATAGCTAAGCCCACTGAGCAGTCATTACTCCACCCAGGAAACCCTAGGCTCTAGTCCTTACAGGGAGTTGGAACTGGAACCGTACCTTGCTGGCCTCTGTCAGGTTGCTAGAGGATTCAGCGTCCAAATATGGCAGTAGCATATTGTTCTCCAAGGCGTCAAATTGAAGAGCATGCTCCTGGTGCAAAAAAAATACCCTGGGGCTAGGACAGGCACACTGTTTGCACTTGATGTCATAGTCATGTTTGGGGAGTGATAAGATAGAAAGCGAATCAAGAAAGAGGCCAGAAATAAGTCAAGGGGCATGATGCCCAGGGTCCCTGTGTTCTCTACACAGGCTTCACAGGGCAGAGATGGAGCACCACTGCTGCAGGCACCTTCATTGTGCTTCTCACGGGGAACAGGGCAGGGAGAAAGCAGAGGCCTGATTGCTAAGATACACTTGCAACCTACACTTTGGTCTTAGGCATTTACCAAAGGTGTAAGTGAGGATGCTTTGCTTCGAAGAATAGCAGAGATGGATGGAGAATGGCGTCCCTTGTTGGGCCTGTGAAGACATCACCTTCCAGGAGCTAGAAAAGGTGTTCAAAACCCCTCTGCCCAAAACATGCTGTTCCTAAGAAAGGGAGGGAAAAGGGAGGATGTGATACTAGATGGTAGGTAGCAAAAAGTGACAGCAAGATAGGACTGCAGATGCAGTCAAGCGGGGACACCCCAACATGGCAAATCATTCCGAAAGCAGACCCCCACAGGCACTGCCGACAAAACTCCCAGAATATAAAAAGGGGGAAATCTAGGGTTTCCAGGAATCCAGAAAAAATCGGCAAAAGCATGTTGGACGAGCCATCCAGAAGAACAGGCTGCGTGAAACCACAGATTCAGAACGATATCAGAGTAGAAAGATTCTGGCTCACACAGAATAAGAAAACAAATCATTCGCCCCAGACATGAAGCCCAGAGCAGCCTCCGTGTGTTTGTGCAGGCAGATTCATGCAATCCCGGGGCTGAGGCTGGCTGCCCTTCTCCACGGCTGGCCTGGCTCAAGGAACGTGGCATGCAGAATTCTGCAAACAGTGATGGGTGGCAGCAGTCCACTCTAGGAGAGGTGCACAGCCTAATAGGAGGGGCAATCCATTGGGCTTGCAGGGGAAATACTAGCTAATACCTTTGTTATTTTCAGGCTACTTAGAGTATGATCATCCAGAAATCGCCATCACTGTGAAAACAAAGGACCAGATTAACGTCATGCTCAACATCGCGAGAGAAATTGTGAAGGACTTCAGGTCAAAGGGAATTATTCAAAAAATTGATGGTTATGCAATTAACAAGGTAAGAGAGATGTTTTCAAACATATAGTCGATCATGGTGTTCTGCACCTACTTTTAGATCTTTCCAACAGAGGCCATCCTTGAGAGATGAGTCTCTAACTTTAAAACATTTTCAAAGGACAAGCGCCAACCCCAGAGAGTTTGCTTTCTACAGCCCCAGGGTTAGGTCTCTTCCCAGGCTAGTCAGTGAGAGATTGTCTCTTTCTCTGCTGTGGTCCTAACCGAGAGGCTGGTGAATCTTTTCTCATTCACTTGTAGAGGGAGTTTCAATATATTCCTGGAAATTATCCAACTGACGTTAAAGTAACTTTTCCTGTAGGCTGTGATTTATAAAAAAACATTCATCCATAGGGTTAGGATTAGTTGTATTTCCTTACTCTAAATCATTTACATAATAGCATGACATGTAAAAAGATAGAAAGGTTTCCAACAGTTTCTATAAGACTCCAAATTGGGAATCATGTAAAGGAGAAAACCAAAAAGCTTTTATACTTGTGAATGCATATGCAAAACTCATAAATAAATAGTAGGACCTTGAAACTGGCAGTATGAAAAATAACTAATGTAATATGATTATTGTGTTCTTTTTAATCATTTTATTGGGGGCTCATACAACCCTTATCACAATCCATACATATGTACAAATGTGCTTGACACAATGTATGTATGTATGACTATTGTTATCTCCAAAAAACCTTATGTAATTCACTGATAAAGTGATCCTTCAAGAAAAACTGGTTGTTACAATTCAGCCCCCATACAGTGCATTCAAGAAATGCTTAGCAGCCTAGTATAAGAAAAAGCATACTTCCCCGATATGATCACTTAAGACAAACGGGTGCATAAGCAAATGTGGTGAAGAAAGCTGATGGTGCCTGGCTATCAAAAGATATAGCATCTGGGGTCTTAAAGACTTGAAAGTAAACAAGCCGCCATCTAGCTCAGAAGCAACAAAGCCCACATGGAAGAAGCACACCAGCCTGTGCTATCACAAGGTGTTGAAGGGATCAGGTATCAGGCACCAAAGAACAAAAAATCATATCATAGTGAATGAGGGAGGATGTGTGGAGTGGAGACCCAAAGCCCAGCTATAGGCAACTGGACATCCCCTTACAGAATGGTCGTGGGGAGGAGACAAGCCAGTCAGGGTGCAGTGTAGCAACGATGAAACATACAACTTTCCTCTAGTTCCTAAATGCTTCCTTCCTCCCACCCCCACCCCCACTATCATGATCCCAATTCTACCTTACAAATCTGGCTAGACCAGAGGATGTGCACTGGTACAGATAGGAACTAGAAACACAGGGAATCCAGGATGGATGATCCCTTCAGGACCAGTGATGTGAGTGGCAATACTGGGAGAGTGGAGGGAAGGTGGGATAGAAAGAGGGAACCGATTACAGGGATCTTCATATAACCTCCTCCCTCGGGATCGAACAATAGAAAAGTCGGTGAAGGGAGACGTTGGACAGTGTAAGATATAACAAAATAATAATTTATAAGTTACCAAGGGTTCATGAGGGAGGAGAGAATGGGGAGGGAGGGGGGAAAATGAGGAGGGAGCGGATGCCAACGGCTTAGGTGGAGAGCAAATGTTTTGAGAATGATGAGTGTCATGAATGTACAAATGTGCTTTATACGATGGATGGATGGATTGTGATAAGAGTTGTTGTATGAGCGCCCAATAAACTGATTTTTTTTTAAAGCATGCTTAACGGGATAAAAGTCATTTAGTTAGCATCTACAGCAAACACTGCATTTGAAGGCGAACTATTTGGAAGTATCCTAATGAAAGTCCGGAGCAAAAAAGACACGACCACTGTCACTCCAAGTGTTCTATGAGGAACCTGGGAATTGGAACCAGGTCAAGGAGGCATTTCAGAGCTGGAGATTTCAGAGAGAAAGGATCTATCTGTTGATTGATTGATTAAAAATATTCGAGAGTTAATAGAAGAGCCATCAGACAAATAAGAATCCAATGGAGTGTTCTAAAACAAGATCAATACATACAATCCTATCCCGGAATAAGAAAACTTTCCATTCGCAGCAGCAGTTAAACACTCAGTGATGGATCTAACACGAAACAGGCAACACCTATGTGACAAGACTGGAAAAATAAAATGATCATGAAAACCTGAATAGGTGCTTTCCCAGGGCCTGCAAATGTATGCTTTATTGGGCCAGAGAGTAAACCTGTTAGCTATCCCGGCTACCTCATGCTGGCCATGGACAAAGAGCCTCACAGAACAAAAGAGAAAATCAAATGAAAGAGGCATTTCACCGTTATGAAAAAGAAAAGTGGCCAATAAATCAAAATCTATTTAGCATCTCTAGTAACCAATGAAATAGAAGCTAAAGCATTAGTAGGCACCATTTTTACCAGCCCGAACAGCAATAATCGGGTGGGGGAGCTATAAAAGAAAAACAAACAAACAAAAAAGCTTCTTATTTGCCTTCTAGTCAATTCTGATGGAGGACAATCTGCCTTAGAAGGGGTACCCCGAGGGTGCTCCTTTTCCTGCTGACATACTTCGGGCATGTTATCACGAGAGACCAGTCCCTGGAGAGGAACAAGGGCCTTGGTAGAGCAGGGAGGCAGAGGAAAAAGAGGGAGGTCCTCTAGGGGATGGACAGACACAGTGGCTGCCATCCTGGACTCGGATATAGCCGTTGTGAGGATAGCAACCATGGGCCAGGACAGTGGTCCATCTGTTGTACCTGGGTTGCTATGACTTGAAGCTGATGTTAGGGCTCCTACCAACCACCACAAGCCCCGGTGGCGGTGTGAGGGAAGTGTTAGACTGCTCACCACCACGTTGTTTGGCAGTTCAAATCCATAAACAACTCCATGGGAGAGAGAAGAAGCTGCCTGCTCTTCTAAAGGTTTATATTCTTGGAAACCCTATATAAATCCACTGTAAGTAAGAACTGGCTCATTGGTACTGGGTTAACAACAAGAAGGACTGCTTTGAAAAAGAGATCCACAAGAATGTATGCCACACTTTTAATATTGGGTGCTGCTTTAGGCAAGCACGCAAAGGATTCAGAGAGGAGGAAGTGAGCCTTAGCTTTTTAGCTTTTTTTAAGTATAGATTTTAATAACACATTTCTTAGAACTACTATATGCGAGAATTTTCCAGGTTCAGTATTGTTGGCATCAAATTTCTCCACCTTAACAATTTTTATTTTGTTAAATATTTTGTTAAAAGATAACTATGTTTCTCCTTTTTAAATTCTCCTTATTTTAAATAATTAAATCATTTTAATGGGGGCTTGTACAACTCTTATCACAACCCACACATACTTCCATTGTGTCAAATACTTTTGTACATTTGTTTCCCTCATCATTTTCAAAACATTTGCTTTCTACTTGAGCCCTTAGTATATCAGCTCCTCATTTTCCCCCTCCCTCCTCACTGCCTCCTCCTCCATGAGCCCTTGATAATTTACAAATTGTTATTATTATGTCATATCTTACTGTCCAACATCTCCCTTCACCCACTTCTCCGCTGTCCGTCCCCCGGGAGGAGGTTATATGTAGATCCTTATAATCAGTTCCCCCTTTCTACTCCACTTCTCCTCCACCTCCCAGTATCACCACTCTCACCACTGGTCCTGAAGGGTTCATCCATCCTGGATTCCCTGTGTTTTCAGTTCCCACCTGTACCAGTGTACATCCTCTGGTCCAGCCAGATTTGTAAGGTAGAATTGGGATCATGATAGTGGAGGGGAGGAAGCATTAAAGAACTAGAGGAAATTTGTATGTTCTAACAATTTGGCAGTCAAAGATGCTCACCTTCTTGGCACAATTACTGAAGACAATGGGTGCACAAGCAAAGGTAGTGAAGAAAGCTGATGGTGCCTGGCTATCAAAAGATATAGCATCTGGGGTCTTAAAGGCCTGAAGATAAACAAGCAGCCATCTAGCTGAGAAACAACAAAACTCACATGGAAGAAGCACACCAGCCTGTCCTGACACAATCCCTGAAGACAAAGCAAGTACATAAGCAAATGTGGTAAAGAAAGTTGATGGAGCCCAGCTATCAAAAGATATAGAGTCTGGGGTCCTATAGGCTTGAAGATCACGAGGCATTGAAGGGATGAGGTATCAGGCATCCAAGACCAAAAAAATCATAGCATTGTGAATGAGGGGGAGTGTGGAGTGGGGACCCAGGGTGCATCTGTGGGCAATTGGACATTCCCTTGCAGAAGGGCCACGGGGAGGAGACAAGCCAGTCAGGGTGCAATGTAGCAAGGAGCCTTAGCTTTTGATTCTACATTTTGCACAATATTTGAAACCCTTACTTGGACATGCTCTCATGTATCATTCATGTAAATAACATGCTGCTACTGAGAGGCGGCTCAGCGTAGGGCACCATTTCATGCTGCTGCTCCCAAGGCCAAGGATGTTCAAGGGCACCTAACAACAACAACACGATCAAAGCACAGATATTGATCATCAGTTTGTCTTCATTTAATGCTGACTATACCATTTAATGGGGCACTCTACGGTTCTCGTTCTATTTTTTAAAGCCCTCTGCAAAGCAGCATCTTCGCTGAATGATGGCAGAAGAACTTGCTAAGAAGGAGGGAGGGAGGGGCCTAATAAAATCATTGTTTTTAGAAAACTTTATTTATTTGGTCCTCTCAACATTCCTGTGACTTAGAGACTATTGTTGTCCTAATTCTAAGGAAGAGGAGAGGCTCCGAATGATTTAGATACCTACTCAAGGTTAGAACTCTGGGAAGTTTGGGGAACAGCCTTCTAATGCAGGCATTCTGATGCCAGAACTCAGGGTCTACAACACAATGCTCTAAAGCACCCCACACTCCAAACCCACAAGTAGATGGAGATAGTAGAAAGTAGCCAAATAAACACTAAGAATTTTAGACTTAGGAAACCAAGACCACTGCACTTGATTATGATGAACGTTTACCCTGTAGGAAATAAAAGTAAAGAACATAACAGTGCAACTTAGAATGGCTCACACAGCCATGAAGGGAAAAACAACCTTTTTCCCCCAGATGAGCAATAATTTTAACAAGCATCATTTATGAAGAAGACCGTCTCTCTCCTTGTACTTTGTAGAGCCTATCTCACAAATGGATTGTATTTGTGTGGATCAGTTTATGGACTCTAGTCTATTCTATGGCTCTGTTTGCCAATCACATGCTTTTAATTATGAAACCTGGTAACAAACCTTCATCTTTGATCATGTGTATCCTCCAGCTTTGTTCTTTTCATTCAGAATATTTTGAATATGTTGGCACTTGGTGTTATTCAATAAACTCTAGAATCAGTTTGTCAGTTTCCACTACACAATTCACTGGAGCATCTGTGAGATTGCATTAAGCCTATATACATCCATGTGCGGAAGGAAAAAAAGTGACAACTTTGTAACATTGATTCAACCTATTAACATAGCATCCCTGAATTTAATGAGGTTTTAATTTTGTCTCAATAATTGTCGTTTTCTTTGTGGACTTCTTGCACCTGCATCATTCATAAATCGGGATCTTTACTTCATGTCACACATTAACAAATCATTCCAGATGGTTTGTATACATAATAATAAATTATAAAATAGTGACATGAAAATCAAAACATTTAATATATTGAGGTAGGCAAAGCTTTCTCAAAGAGGACAGATGATTGGAGTAAATTATATTAAAGTCAGAATTCTTCATTTTAAAAAAAAATAAATGATTAGAAAGATAATCTGCAACAAGGGAGAGTTTGCAAAAAAAAGTATGCCTAATAAAGGATTCACATTCAGAATATATAAAAATGTTTTATAAAGCCATAAGAATGAGAGATAAAACTCAGTTTTAAATAGGCAAAGATATAAATCTGCACTTCCTAATGATAATATTCAAGTGGCTGATAAGCAGAAGGAAAGATGCCATATACCATGGCTGTTCATTTCACGTAAGCACAACCTAGGACCCAGCTATTAGACCTCATGCTAATCTGTGACTTCAGAATTAGGGTAACCCATACTAATCCCAAACGGAGACACTTCAAATGTCTGTCTATAGTTGTTGTTGTTAGGTGCCATCCAGTCTGTTACGACCCATAGCGACCGTAGGCACAACAGAATGAAACCCTGCCCAGTCCTGCACCAGCCTCACCATTGTTCCTACGCCTGAGCCATTATTGCCGCCTCTGTGTCAATCCATCTCCTTGAGGGCCTTCCTCTTTGTCACTGCCCCTCGCTTTCCCAAGCATGCTGTCCTTCTCCAGGGACTGGTCTCTCCTAACAATATGTTCAAAGTATGCATGATGAAGTCTCTCAATCCTTGCCTCTAAGGAGCACTCTGGCTGTACTTTTTCTAAGATCAGTTTGTCCTTTTAGCAGCCCATGGTATCTTCAATCGTCTTCTCCAGCACCACAATTTAAATGCATCAATTCTTCTTTGGTCTACAGCATTCCAATGTCACTGTGGTACATTCACACAGTGTAATACTATTCAAAAATTAAAATGCATAAGCTTTTGCTCTCTGGAACACTATAGCCAAATCTCAGAAATACAATAGTCAAGGAATGAAATCAAATATAAACAAGCACACATCCTTTGATTCCATTCATACAAAGCTATAACCCAGATAACACCAAACTATCGTCGTAGAAATCAAGGTAGTGATGGATTTTGGATCAGAGGAGTGGCTGAAAGGAACCATCATGGAGGATACAGGGGTGAGCTGATTATTTAATCTCCTGATCTGGATGTTGGTTACACAAATGCTTTCACTTTGTGGATGTTCTTTGGCTCAATATTTATGTGACTGGTGTGTATGTGCTTTTCAATCTACTGTATACCTCAGAGACTTTCTTTAAAACGTTTAATCTGTGACTTCAGAATTAGGGTAAGAGAAGGTGGTAGAAAATGAATGCTGTAAGAGAGGAGAGATTGGTGCCTGCAAGAGGACAAAAATCTCAGAGGAGCAAGAACAGGAACAGGTGCACGGTCATACTTGTTGTAAGTATTCTATGAAGAGCAGTTTGGTTTATCTCCTTTCTTACTTTTTTTTTTAATTTTAGTTAATCATGGCCCGAAAAAGAGAGATGCTTGATTTTCAACCAACGATCAAGTCTCTGACTCTTGAAGAAGCAGTGAAAAATATTCCATGGCTAGATAAAGACCGACATCACATAAGCTTCTTTCTGGTAATACTTTTATTTCCCAGCACTATCATCTGTAATGAGACCCCCAGTGGTCATCTAAAAAAATAAACATCCAATCAGATGCTGTTCCATGTTAAATTATTCAAATAATGATTTTTGCCCTTTTTATCCGTGTTTTGTCTGATAAAGTCAAAATCCCTTGGAGAAATATGGAGAGTCTTTCCATAATCTCCCTTCCAGCTGATTCTTGACTTTTTTTATTAAATACTTTTATTGGGGCTTCCTCCATCTCTTACCACAAGCCATACATGTAGCCACTGTGTCAAGTACATTTGTACATATGTTGCCATCATCCTTTTCAAAATATTTTCTTTCTACTTGAGCCCTTGATTCAGCTCATTCCCCGCCTTTCCCTCCTTCCCTCCCTCATGAGCCCTTTATAAATGATAGATTATAATTTTCATGTCTTACGTTGTCCTCTGTCACCCTTCACCTGCTTTTGTGTTGTTCGTCCCCCTGGGAGGGGGTTATGTGTCAATCCTTGTGATCAAGTTCCCTATTCTCCCCCCACGTTACCCTTATCCTCCTGGTGTCTCCACTATCATGCTGGTCCTGAGGGGTCCATCTGTCCTGGAGTCCCTGGGTTGGGGCTCTTATCTGTAGTAGTGTACATGTTCTGGTCTGACCCTTGACTTTTATCTTCCGTCTCCCAATCGTCATACCCCCTTTGACCTTTAGCTATAAGGAGCCACTTCTGGTGCCCCAAGCATTTCACATTGCTTTCTAATCCCGCTCTTGTGTGTGTGCTATTGACTGTCCTCGAAACACCCTTTGTTTTCACATGCCCATATCCTCCAGCTTTCCCTGTTCATTGCGCCTATGGAAACATGTTGGCCAGGCCTTTGAAGCATTTATTGACACCTTTTCATTCTTTCATGTAACCAGGATTGGTTGCACTATGTGACTTGCTTTTGGTCCTCATGTTGCAATCCATCAGGTTTTGGATGGCTGATCTTCAAAAGAATATTGCCAGCCGTGCTATCCTTGTCTTAGTCTGGAAGTTCCAGGGAAAGCAGTTCAGCAGTGTCATAGCAACATTCAAGCCTCCGCTGAGGGATGGGTGATGAGGGTGCTTGAAGTTGATTGGCTGCGAAGTGAAGCCAGGCTTGCAGCCTGAAAGACCTAATCACCGGGGTGGAGCAAACAGGTCCTCGGCTGCTAACGGAAAGGATGGCAGTCGAGTCCACCCAGAAGGACCTTAGAACAAAAAGCCTGAAGATCTAGTTCCGTGGAAAACCTTAAGGAGGCCAGTTCTACTCTGACACCTATGAGTTTGATATGACTCAGAATCAACTTGATTGCAACCAAAGATGGCGTCTTCATTCATAGATTCTTTCTTTATGAAATTGGATAAATATCCCATTTGATATTTCATACATCCTTCTGTATTTGCTATTCATAATTCTACTTTTCTTTTAAATTTACTACTGAGATGGCTTAGAAGATCTTGAGTGATATTTGCTTTTAAAATGTAGAAACTCTTGGGAAGAAAAATAAACATCAGCTTCTCCAACCACTGAAAAAAAATATTATTTATACTCACATAATTGGTGTTTGTTTGTTTGTGTGTTTTAAGCAACGAGCCTTGGTTGTAACATTTGATTGTGGGAATGATATTTTTGAAGAAGGTGAAGCTCCCAAAGGAATCTATATAGTTCTTTCTGGCATGGTAAAGGTAAGACAGATTTAATTTAAAATGTACACGCAAACGTTAGTTTAAACTCTATAAAAGTGAGAATTGATTATTCCTTCTATCTGTATATAAAGATTATTCCTTCTATCTGTATATAAATTGATTATTCCTTCTATCTGTATATATATCTGTATATAAAAAATTATATCTATAGAATTTTAGCTACAGTTCAAATGGCAATTTTCCCCTTCAGAGAAAATGGAAAAAGACCACCCTTCTTTCTCATGATAAAATATCAGAAGGGGCATATCTTAAGATGGAAAATAGCACTATGAATTATATACATTTGTCTGATTTGGAGATTTATGCATTCTAATTTTTTATTTTAATAAATCATTTTTATTGGGGGCTCTTACAACTCTTATAGCAATCCATACATCAGTTTTGTCAAGCACATTTGTACACATGTTGCCGTCATCATTTTCAAAATATTTTCTTTCTATTTGTGCCCTTGGTATCAGCTCCTCTTTTTTCCCACCATATTCCACCCTCCGAACCCTCATGGACCCCTGATAAATGATAAATTATCATTATTTTCATATCTTACACCACCTGCTGTCTCCCTTCACCCACATTACTGTTGTTCATCCCCCTGGGGAGAGAGTGGAATTATACATTGGTCATCGTAGTCAGTTCCCCGTTTCTCCCCCTTCTCCTCACACCTTCCCCCTATCCTCATGGTATTGCTACTCATGTTACTCTTCCTAGATTTATCTGTCCTGGATTCCATGCTACAAAAGCTCTTATCTGTACCAATGTACATGCTCCAGCCAGATTTGTAAGGCAGAACTGGGGTCATGGTAGTGAGGGGGAGGAAACATTAAAGGACTAGAGGAATGTTGTGTGTTCTGTCCTTGCTGTGCTGCACCCTGTCTGTCTCATTCTTTCCTTGTGACCCTTCTGTGAAGGAATGTCCAATGATCTACAGTTGGGCTTTGGGTCTCTACTCTGACCTCCATCATTTGCATCTATAGCTTTGTTTGTCTTGGGTCTTCTGGTGCTTGATACCGTATCCCATTGGCATATCCTGATCACACAGGCTGGTGTGCTGCTTTCATGTGGGCTTTGTTGCTTCCCTGCTAGATGGCTGTTTGTTTAACTTCAAGTCTTTTAGACCCCAGATGTTTTAATAGCCAGAACTATCAGGTTTCTTCACCACATTTGCTTATGTACTGAGTTACTTTATTGTGCCAACCTGGCTGATAAACACATGTGGGGTTAATTGAAGGGCAGAGGGATAAATGGCTCGGTGAGCCTCGCCTATGTAGTTCTCAGGTCTCTTGCTTTGTGATGGTCGCACCAGGATGCAGCTGCCTTAGCAGTTCCCTGCTTCAGCTGTCAAGGCTGACTTCCTGTAAGACATCCCTGAGGAGAAGCCACATGGACCTACCCGGTGCAGCCCTGGGTGCTGGAGCAGCTGTGTGGAGACCCCTGCCAGTGCTGAGATGTTTACACATTCACTGACTAGGCTTTCCTCCTGCAGTCGGCATCATTACGTCTGTTTTGTGAGATGAAGGAGGACTTTGTGGAATGGTGTTGGACATATGGGTTAATGGGTTAATGTTGCACTTGTGGGCTTTGGCAGCACTGGGTTGGGATATTTTCTTGATGTGCACTTAACCTTTTTATAGAACTCTCTTATATATGAGTTTCTGTGGATTTGTTTCTCTGATGTACCAAGACTAACACATGTACCCATTTTGACTTCAGCGATCTTGTTGGGAAGGTGAGCATCACAGAATGTTGCGTTATTAGAAGTGTTCTTACGTTGAGAGAGTACTTGAGTAGAGACCTAATGCCCATCTGCTACCTTAATACTTAACATTTAAATATATGTACATAGACCCATATCCCTATCGTTATAAATGAAAATATTTACATATATGCATGCCTATAATTATACCTATATAAATGTCTTTTGCCTCCTAGTTCCTTCCTCTAGTTCAGTGGTTCTCAACTTTCCTAATGCTGCGACCCTTTAATACAGTTCCTCATGTTGTGGTGACTCCCAACTATAAAATTATTTTTGTTGCTACTTCATAACTGTAATTTTGCTACTGTTATGCATCGGGCAACCCCTGTGAAAGGGTCATTCAACCCCCAAAGGACTTAGGACCCACAGGTTGAGAACCATTGCTCTATTTCTTTTCACTTTTTTACTTTCCTCCTGTTCCACTATCATGTTGGACCTTCATTCGACTGTCGGTACTTTCTCTCGGTTACATTGCACTTGATCAAACCCCATCAGGCATTCTCTGCCCTCCTCACCATCTACTTTAGGTCTCTTATTGTTCCCTTGACGCTGGGTTTGTTGGCTCTCCACTCTCTTTCTCCCACAGAAACATTAGGGCATTATAGAGTGTTTTGTTTCCATCTCAAAAAAATGCTTCATTTCTCATGACCAATTTAATATAAAAGGGAAGAAATAATCAATAAATATTTTTGAGAATATGTATATATTAGAAATTTCAAAACCCAAAGGAAATGGGCAATAACATCATTTTATTAAGATAAGTCAACTGATGTATATGTTTGTTTCTTTCCTTGTTCCCATGCAGCTTCAAAGAGCAAAGCTGGGTTTAGCTAATGACTGTGACTCAGAAGAGAAGGATTTTCAGATAACCCAGTCAGACTATATGATCAGTGGGGATATAATAGGAGAGCTAGACAGCTTGATGAATGAGCCCATGAAATATTCTGCTACCTGCAAAACTGTCGTGGAGGTCAGAAGATAACTCTGTATCATTTTTGTGAAGCATTTTGCTTTAAATGTATGGCTGCTTCTGTACTTAGTATACATGTGCTTAGTGTGCATTACAGACTAGTGATCATTTATTTCTTAAAATGACAAAGATGAAAAGTTGTTATAGAATTATACTCATCCAGTAAAATGTCTTGGCACCATGGGTGGTGTAATTAACTATATCTAAGGGAGGCTTTAAGTGGGGTGAAGGGACCTGATAATATGAGCCTTTTTATGGGGAAATTAAGTTGCATGTGTGAGTTATCAACGCCATCATCCAAAAGGTAAGGAAGAGGGAAAAAATCAGAGACCAAGTGTATTAGTCTAGGTACTTTGGAGAAACAAATCCACAGCAACTCATATATAAGAGAGTTTTATGTAAAGAAAAAGTGCCTCACGAAAACATCCCAACCTAATGCTGCCCAAGCCCACAAGTCCAACATTAACCCATTAACCCAACACCAGTCCACAAAGTCCTCCACCTCACAA